CATTGCTACTTCACGCCGCCTCTACCGCATGAAGCCGGGTTCTGCAATAAACGAAATTCCGGGGCAGCCTGACGTTGCATCCACTATACTGTAAAGTTAATTGTCGAATGCATAGGGGCCCGTAAACCCAAAGCCCGTACTATTCGGAGCACGGAGGCATGTGAGGCACCGGATTCCGCAATGAAAAAACCTCTGGGCAGCGTCCTTAATGTCCCACGGCAGTCCACCTTGGGAACCCTGCCTGTTTTGCCATCTCCGTAGAACCGAGCAGCACTTGTCAAAGTCAACATGCCTCCAAGTATCCAGCTAATCTGGTCTGCACGCCATGACGCTTTGTGTATCCACGCCGGGCGGCTGCAAGAGATGGTGGGACCTTGTATCGCTGTGCTTTTCGGAAAGCACGGAAGACCCAACGTTTCATAGCACATATGGGGTAGAAGATTTTCTCGTTCTGATGCTGCGAGCACCTGAATGTTCTATAGGGGCTCTTGTGCCGTGTCATCGAAGTACTAAGATCGGAATCGGAAACTATTCACATCCACATACCCTGATAATCGCTGAGCCAACAAGGCCAACCTTGTGGTGGAACACCACGCTAGGCTTAGATCCGAAAATCCTGATAGGTTGGAAGGAATATCCATATTCAAGTCAAGTCCTTTGTGCCGTAGGGCGGCCTTTTGGAGGAGCAGGCAAAAAAACGCAACACCACAACCATGGTGCGTCAGACACTCTGTCAAACTGCGGTTGCGCATGACATATCATGACATCACGTCATCGTTAAACTCATTTTGAACGATACCTTTAGCATGTCCATCACAAAGAATGTTTATTGCTAACTTAGGTGGAACGTATCATTCAGCAACATTTCACGCCTGAAGACGTGATCTGCCGTAACCTATCCGAACTATGGCTTGTTGCAGAATGAAAGCTGTGCAATGTACGTACGTGCACTCCTGTGTCGATGCACGTTCGGACTTTAAAGAATAAGAAAAAATCAGTTGCAGGCCACTCCTGAGGGCCGTGCCCCTCGCGTATCCTCGCGCGCGTGAGGGACGTGCACCGCTGCCCGTGCGTGTGATGTGTCCGAAAAGCTCCTTGCTGATCTCAAGCCCGCCTCTCGATGCTGCTCGCACAGGCCCAACCGCGCTCGCGGGTGGTCACCGTTGTCCACTTCCGAAAATGTAGGCCCACTTCCGGGTCTCGGCTCCTCCTTCCAGCTCCCCTCACACGCTTGCCAGCCGAACAACACTTGGATGAATACGATTACCACCGAACAGTTTCTGCAGGCTCGCTCACCACACGTCAGCAGACAGCTCAATGATTCCCGTTGTGGGCGCGCCTCCTGCGTTGCTGCACGCCCGATTTGTTTGTCGGGCCTTTCGCCGCAGCACGAGACGGCGTCTATGCTCGCACTATACGGTGTCTAAACACTACGGGCCATGCGCACAGTGCCAGACCACCAAAGGCAGGCGGCCGGAGAGCGCTTAGCGGGCGAGGAGCCAAGTTTTCCGGTGTCCGCAAAGAGTCGGCATAGGCCCGTTGCACCGCGCCTGCAAGCAGGCCGGACCAGCGTGCAACCCACGCCGTCCGGCTGGCAGCGCGGACAGGGGCCGGCGTGGCCTGCGCACGTTGCCGGGAGAGCAAACGCAGGAAGGTGGCTGCCCCCAATCCCCAAGTGGCTGACGACCAAACATCCGCAACGGTGATGATCGTGGCGAATCCTGTGCGTTGCGAACGTGGTTGTGCACTTCTCTGTCACAAATAGGAAATGGTCCAACATAAACTTGAACACAGCAACCTCATCCTCCACTCGGCAGGCCCATTAACGCGACACCGAGGCGACATCGCCGGGAGGCGCAGACCGTGAGCTGCTGCGACTGAGACTCGAGCAACTGTGTCCTCACAGAGCCAGCCCGATGCAGTGCCGGAGCACTGCGCCTCGTCGCCAGGCTGCGAGCCAGGCGAGCTCCTGCCCTGCAAAGTGCTGCTGGAGCCTGCTCAGCGTGGCTTTGTACCCCAAGCCGCCTCGACCCCGTAGGCTTCATTCGGCACGAGGACCTGGACGTGGCCCTAACGGTCATTATGCAGAAGCTCGCAGGGGTGGAAGAATTCGTACAAATTCGGGCGTGTAGCTGTTCGCCAGGAGGCACTGCGGCTTCGTGCAGGTCCGGTCGAAGGATTGGGTTGGGACAAGCAGACAGAGTCAAAGGCTGGAACCCAACTTGCGTGTGCACAACTGCTCGGATGCCTGCACTGCAACACTGGTGGCTGCCAGTGGGGACTTGCAGTGAAGCGCCCACAGCAAATGTACATACACAACTGGACTCGCGCGTGGGCGCAAAGTATTTCACCAACCATGCTCAGCGTGCAACAAAACGGTCTGCAGCAGCTACAGTAGCGCCTGTGCGGTTCCACATCGGTACAGGAATCGGACAAAGATGCGGACACACCCAGCAGAGCCAGAACATATTATGTGCCAGTGAGGCAAGCGATCACCGCATCCCCGGCAGAAGGAGTCGTCAACTTCTGCGGGGAGCACCATGCCGTGCGAGGCCGCGGACGGTCACTGGGCGGGTCCTGCAGTTTTTCGAAAGTTTGCGGTGCTAGGGGCTCAGCAACGAGCACAGGCCCGGGCAGCAGGAAGCCCGTCGAGATGGACAATGTGGAACGGGGCACGTGCGTGACTGTGCTTGGAGCCCCTTGCACAGCATTCCTCGCGCGGGGCGTGCACGGACTTGAGGAGGGTTCCCACACGGGCCCGATAGGTGTTCTCCAGACTAAACCTGGCCAAGCCTCAGCGCATCCCAGACACGACGGCGTGTCTTGTTGCTGCGGCGCTGGTCTGCTGGGGAAACAGGTTCGTGGGCGCGGCATCCGCGGCCTGTTGACAAGCGGATTTAGGTGCGTGTGGCCAGCGGGGCCGGCACAAATGGAAGCTGGTCCTCGAGCTCATGGGGGCCGCTGCGCGACGCGAGCATGCAGCCCGGAGTTGGATGCCGGAAAACGATGCGCGACGGCTACTTTACGGCATCAATGCAGCTCCATGTCGCGCGAAAAAAAACTGGGGCGTCGTGCGAAGGTTGTTATATACGAACACGAATCGTCACAGCACCACATGCGCTCATCTCAAAACATGCCAACCATCTACCTCATGACAACTTCACATCCTGCTCCATAAAAGCCGCTTTTCAGGGAAAACCCGTTCTAAACCCCAAACCCAATACTGTTGCGTCTTGCGCCATCTCAGAGGGGCTGGGGAACTGCAGGCCCGGAGGAGCACTGCGAAGCTAAGGATGGCACCATACCACGGAAGGGTACACAGTACTATCCAAACCCTAAGTTGATACACTGCCAGAACTCCTACAGACGAGGCGGCTTCGCAAATGCTACAGGCAGCGGTGAAAGGCCGAACCGACCCT